TTAATTGTGCATCAAAAAACAAATTAAATAAATACATATATACATATAATATAATATATATTTGCAGCATCTATTCTGGCAGTCAGCAAGCTGGTTGCCTGATCGGTACTGATATGCTATTGTGGTACAACTTGTCATATTTGTTCCATCCAGCATGAAAGTTGATTGAAGTAGCATTTCATTTCATTTGTGATTAAGAATTTTATGCTAACAAGTATTCTATTTGTGTATACCTTTTACCTTTTACCTTAATCTTAAAGTGTATATTTGTTTCTTACTCTTCTTATATTTATTGTTTGTCTTTTGCACTGAATGGAACTGGAGCCTCGTTGTCTCGTCTCTCTGTATACTTTACTGTATATAGCACAGATGACAATAAAGTTTACTTTAACTTTGACCACAATAAATACAACATACAACAATATACCATTCAGAAATGTTGTTTTATTAGCCTGTGCTTAAATAAGGGGCTTTACAGGACTGCTTGAATTTCTTTTTGTCATATTTTAACTAGCCAGTACTCATTTTTCACGTGTCTGTTCAAAATTGCAGGTTCTGATTCAATGTCATGGTAGGAAGGGGTATTTAAAACTTCAGGCTTTTGTCTTTAATATTTTTTGAGACCTAACCTCAGATTTCAAAGTGTGGGAAAACATGCTGAAAGTGGGTCAATAGACATTTTTCAATAAATTTTATCTTGAAATAGATTTGATATATGAAGATGTCGGCCCAACCTTTGCAGCTATAACAGCTTCAGCTATTGCCAGGCAGGCGGGCAGCATAGACACTCAAGTTTGTGAATGCGATAACTTAAGAAGGAAGTCACCGAGGACTTTCAAATCAATACTATAGGTGCATCTACTAGGAGGCTGCGGGGTACCACTGGTGCTTGCCAATATTTTTAAAATTTGTGTTACTATCCATACATGTGTGGAGAGAGACAGAAACATGTTACTGTTTGCAAATATTTGATAATCATAAGAAGAAGAGCCCAGCCTGTTGTTCTTATAATATTATGTTCATATTAAATGAACAGTAACTGTAACATTAGTTAGTGACTAGGCAGGCCCAATGACTTTTATCTGTTTCTCATATAAACAGGTTTAAGTGGCTCATCTTTAAGTACCAGCTAGAAGTCTTAATATCCTTCTGTTCAGTACAGTCAGAGAAGCCAAGGTAGTGTTTGAACTATAGTATTTTTAATTAACATTCAAGCTCACTCAGTTAGTTACCAAACACCAGCTTTCCCCCGACAGCTCACTTCTCGTCTTGCCTAGCAAACTAAGAATATTAATTTACTCATTATCTTAGAAATCACACATTTAACTTACAGAAAAAGTGAGACAATGAGGCCTCAGGTTCCACGTGTCAGTTAGTCCAGTTTACTGCAGAATACTTTACTCTGTCAGTTTGCAGCAGTTGGAAACACTCAGTGCTTCTGCTTTATTTGCAGTTCCAGAAAAGAGATACATACAAGTTTCTCCATGACAGCAGCTGCCAATAAAGGCTCTCATCATTAATTATATTCAGGCAGGGGAAAACAGGACATGGGAAGGACTGCTGCAAACTCATTAGGATTAACGAAGTAATTTTCACAATAAGAGTGAAGGAAATGTCCAATAATAAGTCAGTAAGTCAGTACAAGAAAACACAGCAAACTTGTGACAACTTTTTAACCTGCAGAAAAAAACAACTTAACGAGGGATAATTTGTTTAAAGTCTCAGAACCACACAAGCCAATCTGCTTCATATGTCCTCAAGCCTGATGGCAATAAAGCAGTCACTTTATGACACAACATATCAGATGGCACAGTGGTCAAAATACAGAGCGCTCTCAGTGCAAAGTAGTTTTTCTCTGAATGTCATTGTCTCTAATTGCCAGTGCTGTGCTGAGTCATTGAGTGTTACTCAATGAGACGTTACAGTAGACTGTGTACAGCATAACAGCACAAACATCAAGATCAGTCTATACTGGCAGTTGAATAGTTGAAAATCTAAAATAAATGTTTGAAATATTTTTCTAAGTTACTAAAATGTGTTGTGTGTGCTTGTTGTCAGTACTGGAATTTAAAAAACAAAAATCCAAAGGTTTAGTAAAGTGCATCATTGTATTATGCGGTAAATGTTTGATTACAAACATGTATATGTTGTGTTCTCACACTGATCGCTTACATCTTTCCTTACACATATCCCTGGATGTTCCACTTTTGCTTCAAGTGTGATTTTTTTATTGATCCTCCAGGTGCCGTGCCTGTGCAGCAGTGCTACGTGCCTGATGTGTAGCTGCTGTCCGAGCATCAGAAACTCCACGGTGACCAGGATCATCTATGCCTTTATAATGCTGATAGGCACCATCGTTGCCTGCATCATGCTGTCACCGGGTGTGGATCGGCAGCTCAAAAGGGTAGGAGTTGACCATAAAAATAC